TCCTCACTGCCACATCTTGCATTTCTCTATCAACACTCACAGCCCTCTCTAGTCACTTGCTCAGAAAGCAAAAGCTACAAAGGCTTTGTATGGTGCTCATAAAAGGAAGACACTCAGATAACACCATATCAAGAATCACAGAGATAAAACCTCCCACAGTCCCATGCTCTTTCTACCCTTTCTGTTGCGTATCAAGGAATCTCAGATTGCATCAGCTACAAAGGACCTATCAATCAAATTGGGCCAGCGCCATTCAGGGCCACAGAGTTTAAAATGACTCCAAGTACGTGAAACAAAACATGTTGTTTCCACAAGTTTTGCTAGGGAAACAGATACATGTTATCAGTGTAAGTGAGAACCACACAGGTCCAGGCCTCAGTGCCACTCACAAGGCCTTTCCCGCAACGTCTGTTAGTTTACTTGTTGTTAAAGACTCATCTTACTTTGAAACTGTGGCACATGCATCTCATTAATCACTGCTTAAGAATACATGACAGGTTGCTTCATTCCCTCCAGCAGTTCAATGACCACAGGAAATTAAATCCACTTGACCTAGTGGTAGAGGCTCTAGGGTCAAGTTTGGTCATGCCTGAGCTGTCACAAACATCAGTTCAAATTTCTTTTGCTGACTTCAGTGAAACCAATGCAATCATCACAGAGACAGGGACAAGGTCTGTAGTCACAGATTTGCTCTGGAAGATCCAAGATGCGTTCTTTTTTTGCAAGTAGCCAATGAGTCTCCTCCACCTGCCCTCCCTCACAGCACCCACTAGAGCAGAAACCGCATGCAGGAGGTGTTCCTTCAAGTGTGCAGGTATCAGGTTTTAACAAGTTCCCAAATGCTGCAAGAAAATGATATCAGATATTTGGGAGGGAGAAGGGGTGGAAGAAGAAGATTCTTATCTTGTACATGGCCATCGGCACTGGGACTGCTCTTTGTCCTTGCTTTCCATGCTGGAAGCTGCCATCTGTCCCGGCCCATCTCCAGCCTGAGAGGCCCTTAGCTGCTGATAGCATCTGGAAGCCAGTTTTAATAGGATTGTTCTCATACCTCTTGCACACCCCCAGACATCTCTGTCTCACTCCAGGCTCCTCTCAAACAGAAAATGCTGCCAAAAACTAATGTGAGCCTTAAATCTCCCATCAAGTCAGTTCATTCAAGTTCATGCCCTTCCCACAGCTCCCATGACTCTCAGGAATAACGACAGCAAAGTTTGCTTGCTCCCTCCCCTGCTGCATCACTCTACAGAAAGGGACTGTTAGGGGATCAGCTGTGGTAACTTGAGGTGGCAGTCAGGGCCCTGAGGTGGGGCAGGAGCTCTGCAGAGATTCAGACAGCAGCTACAGCCTTACAAGTCAAAGACGTCCTTCATCGAGGTGAACACCAAAGAAACAGCAGTAGGGGTGTGGGTGTGAGTGTGCGTTAGGGAGAGCAGGGCGTAACATGGAGGTATCCAGGAGCACAAAGAGTCATGGCACAAGAGCACATCTAGGAGAGCAGAGATCTGGCTGAAGATGCTCCAGGCTTTGTGCAACACTTACAGCATGACCCTGCCCTTTGCACCTAAGTTGCTCACTGTGCCATGGTGGTGGGGCTGGGAAAGGGGCTCCCAGCAGCCTCTCCACGCCAGCAGAACACCCAGACAAGGCAAGTCACATTAGAAATCATCTGCAATGCCCTGCCTTTCTTTGGGTGCTCTTGTCTGAAAGCACGTTGCAAACCCTTATTAATGCTCAGCACTGCTTCTTCCTGCAGCGGGGCAGCCATTATAGTCCCTGCTCCTGTAGCAAGGAGTTAAAACTGAGGCACAGGGAGGGGAAATGGATCGCCCCAAAGACCTGACTTCCCAACCCCTGCTTTGATCACTCCCTGCCTCGTTGCACTTCAGTACAGGTAGAAGTTCTTTACTGCTGCATCCTTGCATTGGAATAAACCATAACAGCGCTCCTGTGAAAACATCCTGCCTTGGAGTCTTGCGCAGCTAGGAGATATATGTGCAATGCCCCTAAAAACACTGGTTCTGCCAAGTAGATGCAGAGCTGGGCAGCTCCGCCTGTCCCAGATGAAGAACCTTACAGCTGCTCCCTCCTTAAGTTGCACCTACTCTTCAATGAGCAACTTTCTTCCAACCATGCATCCCTCTCCCTCTTTAACTGATTTATGCTAGTCACTTCTATTACTGTCCTTGGCATTTCCTGTGCTCTCCCCAATCCCTCCTCTAAGGAAAGGCATCGTTTCTGCCAGATTTCTGTTAGGCCATGCCTCCTTGTTAACTTCAGATTCATTACCCCAGCTGCCTGGATTTCTTACTGTCTCAAACGACTTGCTGGCAGACAGAGCTTTACTTTCCTCCAAATTTCAGAATTTTTACACCAAAATCAATCCTCAAGCCTTCCACACCTTCTCCATCTGTAACATGCTAACTGCACAGTAACAACTTGGCAGGAGTACTTTAGACTTGTAAAGATCAGAGAAGCAGTCTTGCAGTTGGGGGCTCAGGTTGCAGATACAGGAATCCGATCTCTCTGTGTCTGCTAGTAAGCCAGGGTTATTTAAAGGGCTGGGCTTGACTTTCGGCTGGCAAGTTGATAGATGAGGTCAGGACAGGTTCGTATTTGCATTTCTATTGCACAATTCTTCCAGAGCACACGTTGTGTAACATCACCCGTGTCACACACACAACCTCTCCTTCAACGCTTGTGGCTCCTCTTACCATCCACCTCCTTTTTATGTACCACCGCAGAGCCAAAACACAACAGTGACCTTCTGTACCTTGTATTTCATCAGCACTGCATAAAAGATTTTTGGCTTTTGGATCTGGCACCAGCAGATCGTTGAAAGCTGATGGAGGACTAGGGGAAACTGGTTGAACGACTGGAAATGACACTACATCTGGAATAAGGTGTCTTCAAAGGAGAAACTAGGGCTCTCTGAGGGAACGAAATATGGCAAGATTGAGAATCCTGAGAACTCGCTACATAGGTAAGGATAATGCGATGGATAGCCCAGGCACAATAGGACTGTGCAGGTGCAGGTGAGACGGGCAAGACAGCAGAAATTATTTGTCAGGAATGCCTAGAAAGGTTTTGTACTCTATTCTGCAAGCAAAATAAAACAAATGACCAGATGATATTAGCACAACAATACCCCACCTGCACCCATGCTCTCCTGATTTAACTTGCTGGAAACAGAAACTAAGCAATAGATAACATCACCAACATTCGATCTATTAACTTCTACAAAAAGCCATCTCACATATCTGAATATGTACAGAAATGCTTATTTAATGGTAATGCAAGAAAACAGCACTGGGTGACATTATAAAGCAACAACCGCTTTCCAGACGAGGGCTGTCCTTGTGTTTCAGAAATCAATCTAGCAGCTGCCAAAGCACTGCAATGACTTCTCAGTTCAGTGCAGTAGGTAAGATGGTTCCGGCTGCCTGGTTAAAGTGCAAACAGCTCACGAGGCAACCATTTACAAGGCAGGACCACAGAGCACTAAGTGAGCGCAGGACAGCTAATGTCACCCCCTACTGCTTTTTTTAATACTTCTGTCAGTTTGGCAACACAGTGACTGCTGCTGGAAAAAAAAACACGCCTGGTGTTTTTGATGGCTTCCCGTGGAGTTACACAGAGAAGAGAAAGACAGCCTGAAGGCTCAGAATGAGATCAGCACATGGAAAACCCGCCTCACATATTCATGCTTGTCTCCTTCTGCTGGGGAGATGTACGTGTGGGGGAAAAGGAGGAGGGGCAAGGGAATGAGTTATGTTGTATAGACATACAGAGTACCAACAGCTCTAATAGGATGAGGAAAACATCATGCTGGAGGACAAGAATGTGATCCTTGGATGCTGGCAAAATGACAAGAAAATTTGGCATTGACATTGAGACATAAAAATAAAATGTTTATTTCTATATCTACATGCAGCCATCAAAGTACTGTGACAGCAAAGTCTGTATGCTTCAAGTCTACTAAGCCTTGCCTTCCACCATGGGATACTAATTCTTGAGCCGACAGGGCAAAGATGCCACTGGAAGAAAAAGGTACACTCCAAAAGATCACAGAACGCGGCCAGGTCTACTCTTTGTGACAACCTCTTACAACCCCAGGGGAAACAGCTTCATGTAGCGTATATCCACCATCAAGGACATGGTTTTCAGTAGTCACTGTGGGGACTATCCAGGCAGTGGAGGACAGGGGGTTTTGAGAAAAAGGATTAAGTTGAGAACACCAGACTGAAATTACCGTCCCTCTAACCGAGCTACTCCCATCTACTCCACAGCTCACAACCTCCCAGTGTTCTTGGACTTGCCTCTTCCTCCTGCTGGGAAGAATCCTAGAAGAAGGGTATCCAGTTCAGTACAAGAGCAAGGAAGTACCAGGAGAGTACCAGTACTGTTTTGACTAGAGGAGATGCTATTGAACCATCAGATAAACAGGACGCAGGGAAGGCCTCTGTGGTTTCAGAGTGAAGAGTCTGCTCACTACTCACAAGGGGCTGGAGAAGTACAAGGCATGAGAAGAGAGAAAGAAAACATTTAAGATCTCTTCCTGCCGAATACCACTTAATGTCACTGAACTAGCACCTAGAGAAAACTGTCACACGTTTCCAGAGACGATAAACAAACTGGATCCAGGCACTGCTCAGGCCATGAAACAGGGTAGGAACCTCAGGTTCTCAGAATTTGCCATGGCTTAGGCAAAACCTGAAGATACTGTCTCTCAGGTACCAGCATCCCTTGGCCACGTACCCGACATCTTTGTGGTTGCTTCAAAGAGTGAGCGTTATACGCTCTTCAAGAACAAGTCTTCATATGAGTTTGAACAGAGGCTGGAAAACTGGAAGTGCTCTAAGGAAACAGGTATTGATGACGCTTACTGTAGACTGAATCCAGCTGATCCAAAATTTAAACTGAACAGATAGGCCTTCACAACCAACTCGCCTTCTAAAATGCTATCTCCCCAGAGAAAAATTTCCAGCACATCTTAGTACCTTTTCACTGTCTGCAAACTCCTGCAATATAATCTGTCTCTCCACACACAGCTCCAAGAAGTCTTCTGAATGGAAACTTTCATGCAGGGCAGGGAAGAACGTTAGCTGGTTACAATCCATTCCCTTCTCATCCATCTCCCTTTCTGCTCCATTTAACGTCAGCTCTCCTATATCAATATAAAAGAGATCACAGTTTTAGTGGCAGCCGGATGACACCAAAAGCATTTGCGATTTAGATTTCATCCAATCTGTTCTACCTTGGGAAATAACACTATTTATCTGCAAAATCCAGGCGAGAGAGAAGTAAAATCTGTGACTGCTACAGAAGGATGTTTCGTTCCGGGAACTAAAAACAGGTCCCTGCATCGTCATAATTTAAATCAAATTCTTATAATCACTGAAGATTCAAATATTTTGACTAAATGAATTTATTCCCATTTTTGCACTGTATTGGGCTGATTATCTAATAATGAAATAATTTAAAAAGAGGCTGTTAAAATACTCAGACCAAAATTAGGAAGAACTAAAAATGGTAGTCTTTTGGGGACATGCACTGAGTAGGACCTCAACAGAACCTAGGGAGAGACCATCCACTGATAACTTGCCCAAGCTGTCCCTCAAGTTTTGCAAATTCACGCAGTACTGTACAGACACACATAGAGTGCAGCCATGATCAGCCTTCTCCTATGCTTATTGATGTAGACTGCAAGCACTTTGATGGGTTTGGGTTTTTAGGTTTGTTCAGAGCACAGAACAATGGATTCCATTCTCAGTTAGTTCCTAGGCCCTATCACAGTAAAAAGGATACAACAGTACTGCACGTCTCCAGTGTGCACTAGAAGCTTGACCTGGAGCAGCCATGGAGACTTAGGCTGACCCTTCCTGAACTCAAAATTTTTTCCTCATATTTTTTTTCTTGTGAAAAAAATAGCAAATTTTCTACCATATTTCACATTTCCAATCATCTTTCATTCTTTTACCATCTCATGTAATGGAAAACCTGGCATTGGAAAATGAAAAATTTTGACATAATGATCATATTTTGAAAAACATGGTTCCACTTTGAACCCTGAAAAACAATACGATATGTTAATTTTCTTTTTGCCTCACTCTCCACTGTTCTATCCACATTCTTGACAGATCAAGATTTCCTATTATGATTTCCCTGAGTCATATATCATCTGGTTTTAAATAGTATTTTAGAAGTAGAACTAAAGCGTCTACAAAAGAAGTGGGGAGCCTGCACTTCTCCTCCTGCAGTTAAGCAGTTTGGGAACTTTCCAGATGCCCAAGGTATCATTTCAAGATAGCTTTTTTACTTCCAGCTCTTTCCAGTGGCAACGTGAGATCAACAAATTCTGAAGTCAGTTGATACATCACCTATAACAATTACATCAGTCTTCTCCAAAAATCTTCAAGTGACCTTTCAAACCAGAACACTGACAGTAAGTTTTTCTCCCTAGCCTAAATTCTAATCCAGAGCTCCATCTGCTCATTCCAACTCTTTCTTTGGCTCTTTGTGTCCACCCCCTTCTATCATGTAATTTAGCCTTAAATTTTCACCTGGATTTTCTTCAGCAGCGAGGGCTGATTCATTTCTGTTTGCTAGGAGAACCTGGAAAGAGAATAGATGTGACCAAGGCGGAATATGTAGACAGGTAAACATAACATAGAACCTTGTTCCAAAGTACAACACAGATTTATAACTATTTTGCAAATAAATGCCTTGGAAATTCAAATATATACATTTGAAAAGACCCAAAGGAACAATTAAAGGTAGGAATCAATTTCAACAATTAAGCAAAAGGGAAGCGACTACTATCTTTCTCAAAGAGGACCCTGAATGAAGCCACTTCCAGAGTGAAAAAAATCACATAACCCTGTCTACAGAAAACCGGCAGAATCCAAAACTTCAATATAAGACTTGAAAATGTCCTTGAGATGGGAACCTCCTGAGAAAAGCACACTAAGTCGTTCAGCTTCCGGCTGAATGAATGCCTAGATCAAACCACTCTTAATTCCCCTTCTTTAATTATCACCAGTTCTAGCAGCACTAATATGCATAAGATGAACAGGACAGTGCAAACTTCTAACTGGATTCTGTTTGGTATATTGGGAAGTGCTGTACCTGTGAAATATTACAAGCAAAAAAGCATTGCATTATACTGCATTATGCTTTCACCTATCTAGGGATATCTCATACCACAAAAGAGGAAAAATCATTCTGTGGCTGCTCAACATATTGCAGGCCCTCCTACTCCCTTGAAAGCAGACGGGTTCGGTGGTTTCCCCACATATGGTGCAGCACGTTGAAAGTCAGGTGATGAGAATCAGAGAAAAGAGGGAGTTCTGAAGTCACTTGCAACAGTTTCAGAATTTGTGCCCCCCCACGCCCCCCCAACACCCCGGCAAGTGCTTCCTACCTCACTCCTCATTTGCCTCGTTGCTGCTCGAGTGCTTGTGTGCTGAATCCTCCTCCTCATTCGTGCAGGCCCTTCATACCAGTCAAGAATCCATCGTGGCTCGAAGGACCGTGATGCATCCCGCCATGGGCCCCTTCTGTAGAAAAGCTGTTCCTCGATTATCATCCAGTCCTTGGCTGCTTTGCTGTAACCACACTGCAGCACCTGCAGGACAGAACCACTTTGTGCTACTCCTGCACACTTCCCTGCTCCTGTCTCCAGGGGTGGCACCACCTCAGTGATCCAAACAGGTCTACCCACCCTGCCAGAAGAGATTGCTCCAGAGGGAGCGCTGCTGACTCAGCAAACAGATCCCACTGACCACTGAAAGAGTACTGTGGGAGATGCCATAAGCCAGACTAAGATACAATGACAAACATGAGCACATAGTAATCTGAAACCTCCTTGAAAATGGCTTTCTTCGTTACATTTCCAACTCAAAAGCAGTGAGCTAGGAAAAGAGTGTCACGGGTGAGCATTCAGATTTACTCACTTCAGGTTTTCCTGGACAATGTTTTGTTAAATGGCAACAAACATGCTCGCTGAAAACACAGTCTGAAAGTGTGAGTCAGAAGTATATGGTCCTCCCTCCAGCATGGCTTTATTTCTACAGGGGAGAGAGGGGGGTCCTTAAAGTATCAATCTAAAGGGAAGAGAAGCATTTCAAAGAATGAAAAACTTGTAGGTCCTGATGGCCAGCGCTGAAACACAAATGTACTTGTGAGATTTTACTGGCTATGAGCTTGAGCCCTCTTGAAAAATTTTACTAGCTGCTAAAAAAAAAAAAAAAGGGCAAAGTTTTTCAAAGTTCTCATTCATTTCTGCCACTGTAAAAATGGAATAATTCATTTAAAAAAGGTGGGGGGGAAGGAATTCTTGACGATAAAGTGAAGATCTACAATCTGATTCGTGAGTAATGCTCACAAAGCACATCACATTTCAGTGGTGAGGCCAGCAATGAGTACTGTCATTAGCTTTTACCTTTCTTGGGCCAAGAATTCCCACTATGCCCACTACAGGCATTTTATTCATCTCACTTCTGAAATGCCTGATCTCTCGAGGTAGTCCAAAAGACGTGAAAAAGATGCTCTTCCAAATAGTGGTGTCACATGATATTCCCGTTCTTTACCTGTATGTGATTCTTGTACAAAGAAGCATACAGCTCCTGCCCACTTCTTCGGTACCTTTCCATACACGACACAAATCCCTAGAAGAAACATCAGAACACGTACAAATACCAGGTGCTGCAGGTGTAAACTCTGTGAGGGGTAGAAGCAGATATTAGTTGCTCTTATTCTTTTGCAAGAATAATTAAGGAATATAACCTGTGCCTATGAGCTGTCAAGTTCCAGGCGGCACAGTGGTAAGGTAATCATGTAGATTGCTCTCAGGTGTTCTCTTTGCAATTTGCATGCCTTTACCAGTGAGATAAATATATCCGACCTTAACCATAAGTCATCAGTGGAATTGCTCAGAAGGAGAAAGAGAACAGTAAATAAGATTGTAAGGCTCCTTCTTCTGGAAGTGAATTAGTTAGCACTGCAGGTAGCATAGAAGACAATTATCTGATGTAGAGACCCCAAACCGAGGTCAGGATCCAGAGTTTGTAACTATATTCCTGTTCCTTGCTGTATAAACAGAAAGTACAGACAAAAGAATGGTCAGAGTTCCCATTTTGCAGATAGGAAATCAACTGTTTCCAAAAACGTCTTTGATATTTGGGAGCCTAAGTCCACTGGCAACAAGAGAATAAATACACTGCTTAATGGGAATGTGATGCAGAGATCTCTGAGCTAGCTTGTGGAAGCTTGTAGAGCTGCGCCAATGCAAAGAGACACCCAGACTGTTTCTGCTCCACTACACAGCACAGACATGGCCCAAACTCCAGTGCTACTCAGATAGCTCTGGCAATGCACGTCTCCCAAAGCTGTCTGGCAGGACGTTCTGGCCACCTTTCCGTTCAGAACGCATTAGACTCACAGAACAGTGAACCCACATAACAATCAAACATTTCATTTGCTATTTTATTTGAATTAACTTCTCAGGAAAAGAGATTTTGTGCAAGTCTAAGACGCTGAAGAATTGCTGTCAAGAGATTATGAACTGCCCTCCCCATTCTGCCAACAGCTTGTTATATGATCTTCAGCAAGATGTGCAATTGTTCAGAACTTCTACTTCTCCAATCATAAAACAGAGACTACAATACTAACCTCAGAGAGCTACGCAGGCTAAGACCATGAACAAATGCCCAGTGTGGTGGGATCCTTAAATTCGGGGGCCAGGAAAATAAAACGGTTTTGATTTTCCTCTCAACTACTCCACAAAACCAACATTTTTACAGACTTAAGGTGACAAGTTTCACAGTTAAGCCTTTACGTAAAACAAACCAAGAGAGTTTCATCCAGCAATTCCTGTCTGAGCCTGCTTTTTGAAAAGATTTGCAGAAACATTGTGAAACTCAATAGAATCTGTCAGGTGCCAAACTAGCACCACGCACAGAAGAGCAAAACTACACCTAGAATATTCATTATCATACTAATTCCTCAAATCATCTGTTAAACTTAAATCAAAGACAAGCTTCCAGCTTTGAAAAGACTGGGTTGGTTCCCTCTTTCTCCTAGCCATCTATGAACTTCTGGGTCCCAAGGAGACTTGAAGCAAAGCATTTGTTCTCCTTATATTTTTGGCCTGACTAGAGACATAAAGCGTACTGAAAGTCTGTGTGTACAGCTGAAGCACTCAGCAACTGCTAAGTAAGCTAATGGCTTGTTTCATCTTATTGCACAAAGACTGCTGAAGAACCACCTCAGGATTCAGCTCTAACGAGCTCTCTGACTCTCGCAGTACTGTTCTACAGTGTCGTATCTCACACATTTCTATGGCAGTACAAGGATAACTGCTCTGTCCATATCCTCCCCTGCTCTTCACCTGACTACTGACAAAATAGCTCCTGGGGAGAGTTCAGTACCAAAGCCTTCTTATTAACACAGTCACAGGTAAAAATTCTCCTGTTTGACAAGATCTTTCCGGGAGAAAGGTTCTAGCTATCCTATTGCAACTACCAGATGTCATTTTTCATCTTCTGGACATGTTTGCTTTAATATCTTCCAAACAAAAGCTCTCTGGAAAAACAACTATTTTTTCTCCTGAAGGTAATGCACATGGGGTCCTGACTCAGAATGATGCTCCTAACCACTACTGAAATCCAGAGAATTCCAGCAGTCACAGTAATACCCACATAAACCACAAATATCCATTCCATGAGCCCGTCAAACATGTGCAGGGAAGACGCAGCCTTACTTGAAGATGATTCTGAAGTCAGTAAGAGACTGCTGCCCCTTTCCGGGAACTTGCAAAAGGTACATCACAGCTATAAGATGGAAAGAAAAGGAGTCACAGTGGCTGATCATCATCTGCATTGCAAAGAGTCCCACAAGTATCTTTTCCTTTGACAAATTTCTGAGGATTAGTGGTGGCAGGGAAAGCAGAAACTGTTCAGAGGTTATACAAGAGAGGTTACAAAGCGCCCCCACTGCCATGCAAAGGTTCTTGCGCTCACCAGCTTCCCTGAAGGGGCTCTGACAAAGGTCAGTAAATCAGAATGCTGTGAAGAACAGCACCGAGCTGAGCTGGCTATGGAAGTCCCAGCCTCTCACTACCCAAAGCCATGGATCAGATGGGTAACTTTTAAATGCATGGACTTTGTGCCATGCAGGCAGTGATTCCTCAGAGCAAACTGTCTAGCTGCTGCTTGCATTGTGCTATAATTAGGTTAACACGCAAGGTCTACGTGGTATGCTGATTACTGCTGGCTGCCAGCCAGGTCTGTACCCCTACTGTGAAGTCACATTTATTGGTGTTTCCCTGCAGGAAGCTCCTGTTTTACACTGATGAAAGTCATTACATTTTTGTTTGTTTAAAGCATCATTAAACCTGTAATCACAGTTGTGGCCTCACAAAACTATTCCATAATTCATACAAAACTCCCACGAAGACTGACCTAGAAAGCAACGGCATCTCTGTGCTGTTGAGGCAGGCTCAGTACAAGAAGAGAGCCGAGAGCCCAGCTTTATGCGGACATAGGGTAAAAGCCATTCAGAACAGACAACAGATTCCTCCATGTATTAGCAACCACTACAAATACCCACAGGCTGTTCATGCCAGGTCAGCGCTGCCAGCTGTTTCAAAGCTGCTCATAGTTTGTATTTCAGTCGTGGTCACTGATCAGATCCCTAAGGTCAAAACCTACATTGAAAGATTCTCATCAACTTTACTGACCTGTCCCTAAGCCTTTGAAACTCATGCAGGGCCCTAAGAGGGAAAAATTCTGCTAGCCGCTTCTGGTTAACTGAAGACTGACCATTTAGGCTTCTAAATGAGCTTTAGCTAGCCATCTTCAACCAGATAAACATTTCCAAGATGATCACTTCTCCAAGAAAACCATCCGGTTGAAAAATGAAATGAAGAGTTAATAAGATTAGAGATCACTGTAACAAGACAGAGAATAACCAGAACAAAGATATTCAATAAAGACAGAGAATAAATGTTCAGTGAGAATAATTACACTGTACAGTAATGTTTCATGAACAACTAGCATAAAGTTTGCTGTGACCTCCTTACAAATAAAGTTTCTATTTTAAAAATAAAAAACCTGAAATCACACATTGTAATGGTTATCCTTTCAAATGCCAACGCTTTATGCAACAGATAAAATACAACGGTGCCGCACTGTAATATCTATCTTAAACAAGAAGGGATACACTACCTCTGATAATTGTTAATACTGCACGGTATAGTACAAGGTTTAGGTGTCATCTACAGAAAAGTAAGTGTCAGTGCCTGAAATACAACCTGTGTTTTAAGGAAGATCTGATTAAGAGGCTGTGTCGATCCATCTTGACTTCAAAATCTGAGTACGGTACCAGGCTTTCAGTCTTTATTTCACATCCTAGGCACTTATGCTGTAAGTATAACCAGGTCATTTTGCTGCCTCAGATTCCCCAGCCAATATTTATAGCTTGAAAACGTGATGGAATTTACAAGCCATTTCCTTATTAAAAAAGAATGAAAGAATCAAAAACCTTTCCCCTGTTGCTGCATGGAGACCTTACGCAAATAAGAGAGAAAGCGATTAAAACTGGGGAAAGGTAAAACAAGCAAGGAAAAAAACGCTGGCAAACAGACAATATTAACATGCTAAAAAAAAATCCAGGGACTGGATTTCTATAATTTCTTTTAAATAAAGCAACTGAAGGGTTGTTTGAAATAAGAGATGATCAAAAAGAAAAAAAAAGTTAAGAGGGGTGACTTTTAAGTTAAGAGGGGTGACTTTTAAGTTAACAATTCTCTGTTGAGCTCTGGAATGTTTCAGGCATAATTTTTTTTCCCCCCACTCCTGCAGTCCACAAATATTCAGGCCTGCCATAATAAATTCACATTTCATGATACAGACGCCAGATATGCCACAGATCTTTCCTAAAGAAACATTATGCCATTGGAGCACCGGGGTTTGAGGCTTTCTTTAGGAAATTACAAACTATGTGTTATATTTCAGAACACCACACACACGTAAGTACATACAGGCTAAAGCTCTTAATAAATAAAAATAAACTTGATAACAAAATAATTTTAGACTTGGAAGAGCCAAAAGGAGGACAGCCCAAGTACACATATCCCTCAAAGTACCAAGTATACTGGCCCAGTCCAAGGAAGTGCATAGTCCCACAGATGAGAGGGAGAATACCCACAGGCTTATTTTGAAGCATACGTTTAAGTCATCTGTTGATGAGGACTAGAACTAGTGACATTACTGATCTGAGCTAAATAAGTATTATAAATATTTATACCTGTATATATAAATGCATACATGGTAAGAGCATTCATACAACACTGCAGCTGTAACAAAAATATCTGTTCTTGTACAGTGCTTTTCATCAGCACATCTCAGAGGTCCTTTTGAAGGAGGTCTTTATTCCTAGCTTATAGATAGGCAAATTAAGACAAGAGAGTTTCTGGAACATCCTGCCACCACAGCTAGGTGGAAAGGGGTTGTGGATGGGGCAAAAACAACCTGAACTGACTTGAAACAGCTTGGTAAGCAGATTAAGAGGATGTACATGGTGATGGTATACAGTAGCGGGGTGGGGGGTGGGGGGGTGGATTTTAAGAATCAATCTAGGAATCCCTTCTAGTTTGACTGCTATATTC